TTTATTATAAATTACCCAGTCTCAGGCATTGTGTTACAGCAATACAAACAGGAATAAGACAACTTTTAATAAATGAAAAATAAGAATTGTGTTAAGTAGATGCTATGAATCCAAAAAGGACTCATGAACTGTAATCATCTAGAACCCAGGAGGGAGGTGATGCCATCCCTCAGCCTCACAATGGCAGTACTGTCTTCACCAGAGCCCATCTCCTTCCAGAGTCTGCCTCTTGCAAGGAACGCGCTGACATTGAGAACTGTTTTCTCTGTTTTTTGGGGGGTTTTGTTTTTCTGGAGAGTTTTTGCTATAGGGCATGTGCACTCGCCAGAAAGACAGAGACAGAAAGTGAGAAATCACCCCCGAGGGTGGATAGCCACGCTACAATCCCTTCTCCTCCATTCTCCTCTCAGGATCTTGGGCATGCACGCACACACACACGCCTGGCATGAGTTTAAGCCACCGGGCCTGGGACGCGAACCACAGTCGGCTACATGGCAGTCCAGCAACATAGCCATTATGCTAACCGCTGGTCCCAAGAACTGTTTTCTCACTGGCAAGAACTGATTCAGTTATCATCTATTGGAATGAAAAGAATGCTTATGGGATCAAGGGTAATTCTTCACTTGATCTTAGCCAATTTCTTTATAAATCCAAATGCCAGCAGGATTTTTCCTTGGCATTTTTATCTTAACACATCGACAATTTCAGCAGTAGACTGCCTTCTCGGGCATGGAATGAAGGTGATGGAGGGGAATGAACATTGAAAATACACACAGACAAGGAATATATGTGGCCTGCAAAGCCTAAAATATTTACTAACTGGCCTTTTAGGGGAAAACCTTGTCAATCTCTGCTTTAGAGCCTGAACACTAAACTTTGAGAACCTCTGCCTTCAGGAGTTCCAACTCCTGATGCTATTAGTCAGAACCTTGGTTTCTCCATAACTAATGATTTAACCAAGTTTTTCTGGTCACAAGTCTGGGAGAGTGAATAATAATAATAATAATAAAAGGACATTTTCCTTCTTGTACCTATTTGCTTGATTTATTACAGATAAAACAGTTGGTTTTGTCCTTCGATCAGAACCATGTACTGTTGGCTTTGCCGTGGGGCTTGGAACTGAGAGCGGGGACAGGAACTTCCTTAAAGCCAGCAAGCAGTCCTCTGCGGCTGCAGCATGGCCGTTACCCACCACCAACAACATCCCAGCCAGAAAACCCCAAAGCTCTGAAAACAGTGAGGGTCTTTTCTATGCTTTTCACACCAAAACTCATTTTTATGGAAAAACCCAAATGCTGCTGATGTGGGCTGTTTGTCACCTCTGTCCCCACCCCCACCCCCAGCATGCCCCATCACACTTTCCTCTGCTGAAGTATTGACTTGTGTGGTTCTGGGGCACTGCCCCAAGTCTGCTGTGTGTAAGGAGTGAGTGTTACCAACCACCTTTCCCGGAAGAAAGGAAATCTGCCTTCTGAACCAGCTGGTCCCAAAGGTTTTCAACCAGGAAACACAGGTCTAGCTTCCATCCGATTATGTTTACCGTGAAAGGAGGGTTGTGCAATCCCCACTGCTTCAAACCAGCACCTATTTCCCCACAGTGCTTCCGTGTAATGTTCCTTCAGTGTTTAGTGTTTGCAAACAGTATAAGCCTGATGTTTATTTCAGTAAACAAATTAATACACCACACTGATCATTCTTCTTTCAAGAGGGGTTGTGTGCAAATAACATCCAGGTTACAAACACTATGAATAGAAAGTGTTCTATAACTCCAGGGGCTGAAGAGTTAGCAGTGAACAAAGCAGAGAAAAATCCCTATCATCGCGAAGTTTATATCCCAGAAGAAGAAAACAGATAATAAGCAAAATGTAAAATAAATGAATCAATATGAAGCAGAGAAGAAAACAGACATGCCCAAATGGAGAATGCAATTTTAAATAGAGTGATCAGGGAAGACTTCACTGAAAAGACAACATTTGAGAAAACTATAGAAGTGAGAGAGAGCTGGGACCAGCAGATGGTATAACGGTTACATTGCTGGACTCCCATGCAGTCGCCCACTGTTCGAGTCCCAGACTGGTGACTTAAAACTCATGCTGTGGGGAACCAGCAGTTAGCGTAATGGCTATGTCGCTGGACTCCCACGTAGTCAACCGTGGTTCATGTCCCGGACCCGGTGGCTTAAAACTCACGCCGGGCACGTGTGTGTGTGTGCCCAAGATCTCGAGAGGAGAATCGAGAAGAAGGGATTGCGGGGGGACCCGCCCCGGGGGGTGACTTCTCGCTTTCTGTCTCTATGTCTCTGTCTGTCTGGCGAGCGCACGCGCCCTATAGCAAAAACCTCTCAAAAAAAAAAAAAAAAAAACACCTCATGCTGTCTGTGTGTGTGTGTGTGTGCGCATGCATGCTCAAAATCCCGAAAGGAGGGAACCAGCAGTTAGCGTAATGGCTATGTCGCTGGACTCCCACGTAGTCAACCGTGGTTCATGTCCCGGACCCGGTGGCTTAAAACTCACGCCGGGCACGTGTGTGTGCGTGCCCAAGATCCCGAGAGGAGAATGGAGGAGAAGGGATTGCGGCGTGACCATCCCCCCTGGGGGGTGATTTCTCGCTTTCTGTCTCTATGTCTCTCTCTGTCTGTCTGGCGAGCGCACGCGCCCTACAGTGAAAATCTCTCAAAAAAAAAAAAACCACACACAGAAAAATCCCGAAAGGAGAATGGAGACGGGATAGCAGTGTGGCCATACCCCTGGGGGATGATTTCTTGCTCTCTCTTTCTGGCTTTATAGGGAAAAAAATATCTATATATCTCTACCGAAAAAAAAAGAAAGAAAGAAAGAAAGAAAGAAAGAAAGAAAGAAAGAAAGAAAGAAAGAAAGAAAGAAAGAAAGAAAGAAAGAAAGAAAGAAATGAGAAAGAAAGCTGTATAAATATTGGGAGGGAGGGGTTGTTTCCAGGCAAAGGTCCTGAGGTAAGATCTCTGGCTGCCCTGGAGAAGTAACAGCGAGGCCAGTGTGGCTAGGGCAGAATAAATAAAAAGTAGCAGAAGATGAGATCAAGAGGGGAGGAGGCTCGTTTCAAATCATGGAGACTCTTGGGAGGTGGTTTTAGAATGAAACGGAGAACCTCTAAAAAATTTCCAATAGTTGAACAACTGACCAATATTTTAAAAATTTCCTTCTGCTGTGAAAGCATTGCAGATGGAAGGACACCAGTAAAGGAACTTGTGCAGGCTGACAGGGCAGTGAAGGCCACCCTGAAGAAATGGCACTTAGGCCTGAAGAAGTTGTTTACCATAGGGAGCGGAAAAGCGAGGCACGCTCTCCTAATAAACGCACTGACATGCAGAACAGAGTGAGCTGGAGGCTTCGCAGCCACGGAAAACAGCCCAAACTTTGTCTACTGACAGTCGCGAGTAGACTCATTACAGAGCTGCGAGTTCTAAGCCAGAGAGTGACAAGATCTGCCTTAGGTTTTATACTCTTCTGGTTGTTAATTGCAAAATGGAATAGTCAGTGTTTTTACCCTGCAGGTCAAGCTAACTTTTTTTTTTCCTAATGAAATAGAACAGACACATCAGAATACCCTGCAGGTTGTGTCAGTGTAGTGGCAGGAGAGTTGATTTTGTATCCACACAGATGCCCTAAGTTTGAAACTCACTTGATTAGGTGATGGACATATGAAAGGGAGAGCAGGAGGGAACTGCCACCTTTCTGCGTGTGATAGAGAATGCACGACTGCACACGTGAGAGACAGAGTGGAGCGTCCCCACCCGGCTGTCACACGACAACCCTCTTCCACCAACCCATTGGACGGTGGGCATTTGCGCACATGCTCAGCATGTATCAGGCCCACTGGGTTGGGGACTCAAACTGCAGTCACCATGTAGCTTCCACCTCTGCAGTCCAGCCTGTGCCACCACAGCTGGCTGAGCATTGCCAACTTATCAAAGGTACTGCAGGTCAGTGAGACTAGAATAGGGGAGGGGTTCCAGAGGGAAGTTTCAGAGATGCTCCCTAACAGATGTGGGGTGAAGAGAACAGTCGAGGATAGTTTCAGGAGACACCACTGACACTGAGAAGACAAGTACAGGAGATGATGGTGTGGTTTTCAGCATGTCACCTGTAAAATATCACAATGCAGAGTTTCCATCCAGAGAACATGATGGGACTGGACACCAAGATTACAAAGTGGTCAGTGTCCACAGTGAAAAGACTTTTTGGAGGATTTCATAATGAGACATCCGATAATATTACAGTCATCCCATGTAATGTTTGGGGACAAACTTATACTTTAAAAAATTATCTGGAATTCATATTTAATAGAGCATCCTGTATCTTACCTGTCAATCTTTTTTTTTTTTTAATTTGCTCAAGGGCATGAGGGGCAGAGAAAGAGAGAAAAGGAAAGTGAAAAAGCACCGCCATGGGAAATGGTCAGCCTTTACTCCCTTCTCTTCCATCTCCTTTCAGCATTTTGGGCATGCATGCACACACACCCGATGTGTTTTCCAAGTTGCTGCATCTGGGACTTGAACCACTGTGTTGGCCATGTTGAGATCCAGCCATCGTAACCAGCAGGCCATGGGCTGGCCCATTTGTCAATGTTAATTATAGTGCAAGTCCCCTGAGAACAGAGGCAGAAGCTGCAAGTAGGACACCATGACAACAATCCAGGCAAGACTAAGGAAGCACTAAACTAGTGTTTCATAGGGAGGTTTTTGCTTAGCTAGTCTAAATGCAAATTGGAACCATGAATCTTTGAATTAATTCTAAGCATAATGACTTCCTGCAGGTGCACCTCCCTCAGGGTCTGCGTGAGTATCTGGCATCTTGGAGTGTATGGCTGACCCCGGATGTGTCTGGGTTCCTGATGAGCCCCGTTGGCTGCCCCACCTAGCTGCTGGGTGCATATCTGATAGCACAGCCCTAGAGAAGGCCTTAGGAGCTCACACCCAGCTGGGCCATCCTACAGGGACTTATCAGAGATTAGAAAGTATTTACCTTTTCACTTCAACAGAACTCGTTTGCGGTGTTGAACTTGACATGAAAACAAAAATTGAATAGTCCTCTTGTCAGTTGAGCTCTCCTTCAGGAAAATGTTCAAACTGCACATATTTTCAATATGTGGACCCATGATGAATAACTTGACTTTTTTTTTTTCTTTTAGAGTCTTTGAAAAACAAAACAAAATTAAATTAAATGTAACATACCAAAACTATTTCCAAATACTTAATATTTTCTTCTTCAGGGCAGCTCAGCTGGGCACTACTGCCTTGAAATTGCATACACTACATACTATAAACAGAATTCTGTGGCCTTGATCTATCCACAAACACTGAAGACCTCACTGTCCCCGGGTTCTGAGTCCTGATAGTTCTTGGGAAAGGAAAGAGTAAACAATTGTACACACACGTACGGATTCTCAAAGTAGATTTGCTGGCCTCACAATGACAGCTGCTTGTTTTTTTGCAGGCCCAAGTTCTATGAGCAAAAGTGTCTCTAATGGCAAAGGAATTTTTGAAATCCTGCAAGGAGATACATTATAGAAACACGAGTGACATCTGCCATATAATCACATGACATTTTCAATGCTTAGATTAGAATGTAACCTCACGAGGACAGTGACACTAGTATATACTGTTTGCCAATGTGGTTTTCAAAAAAAGGGACCATACTGGGGTCAGCAGGTGGTGTGGTGGTTAAGACATTAAGCTCCCACATGGCCAACTACAGTTCTAGTCCTGGACATCGCAGGCTGAAATTCACACTGGGCCTGTGTGCGTGCATGCTCAAACCCCACAAGGAGAATGGAGAAGGGACTGCACTGTGGCCATCCCACCAGGGAATGATCTCTCACTTTCCTTCTCACTGTCTCTGATGAGCATATGCACTATATGGTAAAAACCTAAAAAAAAAAAAGACAGGGCCAGATGAAGAGTCCAGCAAAGCCAGTCATTCATTACGTTCTAAGGGATATTCCAAGTATTCAAAGTTTCAGAGTTTTGCTTTTGTTTTCCCCAAAGTTTTACTTATATATTCAATGAGTGAGGAAGACAGAGACAGAGAAACAACACCTCCAGTAGGGGGTGCCACAATTTATTCCAGCCTCAGCCAGTTCAGATCATGTGTACGCACATGCCTGGTGTTCTCAGAGAAGTGTCTAGCCCTAACTGGCAACTCTCTTACGTGGGATTTTTTTCACAGAACACTGAGTTTTACTGTTGGAACTCTATCTGACCCAAAACTTTTCGTCTGTAAGCTTGTCAAGAGCAATTCAGTAAACTAAGGTACCATTACAATACTTTTATTGCAATGTCTACTGAGAGCCCACGAAGGGCTAGGTATGGTGCCAGGCTCTGTGCTTCAAGAACCAAAAAAAAAAAAGAATGCCCAGTGTGTAAATTGAAAGAACTGTACTGTAGAAATCCACTCTTTAAGAAGTAACCCCAGCAGCTGCCAAACAAAATTTATGGGAGGCCATTGTTTTGAAATAAACTCCTACACTAGGACCCAACAGACCAAACATAAATGGACCTACTCCTGCTAAATTTCTCCTCAACAAACCAAAGCAAAGTGTCACATGACCTTTGGAGAAATTAAGACACACAGAGAATAGCTAAATCACCACACAGGCCAGTTTTAGCCTGCTGGATTAGGAGGAAGTCTCACTGCTTTAACCCTTACAAGGAAAGTAACAAAGTAACCTGGTAATAAATAATCCACCTTTTATGTTATACCATTCCTTCTTCCTGCTCAACTATAAAAAGAAACTGCTCTGCCACACCAAGCACAACACCTCCGGATTTTTGGACCAGTTGCCACCCTATTCATGAAATACAAACAAAGGCCAATTCAATCACTTCAATACTTTTGTTGTAATTTTGTCTTTTGACAATGCTACCTTAAAAGAAAGTCAGTAAACCAGAAACCACTGAACTGTACATTTTTTAAAAGTCAGTCCTATGTGAGTCTTATTTCAATGTTTTCAAAATGGAAAAAAAAAAAAAAAGAAAGAAAAGAAAAGAAACAGGCCAGCAGATGGTGCAGAGGTTAGGTGGATTGGATTCCACATGGCTGACTGCATGGTTCGAGTCCCAGACCTGGCAGCCTGAAATCCTAAAAGGAGAACAGAGGAGAAGAGATTGTGGTATGGCCCTCTCCCCCACCGCTAGGGGTTGATTTCTCACTTTTTCTCTTTCTCTCGCTGGTGAGAACATGCCCTATAGCAAACTGGGGTGGGGGGGACAGTTAAAAGCAAAAAAATCATTGGAACTTACGAGTCTAATTAGATACCATTTCTTTTTTTATGCGAGTAGATAGAGTCAGTGAAACTAAACATTTAATTAATTAAAACACTAAAAATGATTAGGTTAGTCTAAGACACTAATCAGAAAATAATATAATTTAAAAATTTTTAAGATACAAAAATGTAAGATTAAAAAAACTAGTTCTTAGGTTCAAAGTAAAAATTGATTTCTGAGTTTCTAGGAAAAACAATTACTGATATCATGTAAGGGAGCAGAAAAGCAAAAGGGAAGGTTACTAAAAATGAAAATTCTTTTCCAGATTCTTGGCCAATCATTTTTTTTAATTGTATACATTTAATCACTATACATCACTTTGCTTGTAAGTTGAATTTACTCAACACGAAAGTGCCTCACACCAATCCAGTTAAGGATATAAAACACATTATCATCAACACATCATAACCCATTTCTTCTTTTTTTTTTTTTTTTTTTTGGCGGGGTTTTTTCTCTGGGAAAAAACTCGCCAGACAGACAGAGAAAGACAGAGAGACAGAAAGTGAGAAATCCCCTCCCGGGGGGATGGCCACACCTCAATCCCTTCTCCTCCATTCTCCTCTCAGGATCTTAGGCATGCACGCACACACACCTGGCGTGAGTTTAAGCCACGGGGTCCGGGACGTGAACCTCAGTCAACTACGTGGGAGTCCAGCAACATAGCCATTATGCTAACTGCTGGTCCCCATAACCCATTTCTGTATCTCATTCATGTCTTACCTCTCTATTTTCCTCATTAATTTCTTCCCTTACACTCTCCTTCTTCCACCCTCTTCCCACATTGTCTACAGAATTTATAACCATTTTTAATGCTTTTAGGTCCTCTAATCTCTCAGTTTTCAGCATAGAGTGCAGACAGTAGGTTTACATTAAGTGGAGACATACAGTCTCTCTCTTTCATAGCCTGGCTTGCTTCACTCAGCAATAAATCTTCCATATTTGTCCTCTTTCTGTCAAATGCCAGGGTCTTGCTTTTTATGACAGAGTAGTATTCCATAGAGTATATGTGCCACCCTTTTCCAATCCATGCATCTGTTCGTGGACATCTGGGTTGGTTCCATTTCTGGATTTTATGGTAGTTCTATGTGTAGATTGATGAGAAACTTCCATCTTGTTCTTTCTCTCTTTTTTTTTTTTAAGAATTGTTTACTTATTTAATTCCACTTATTATTATTATTTTTAATTTTAGCAGAGAGAGACAGATAGACACAGAGAAAGGGAAAGCAAGAAAGCAAGCCGCCAGGTCCAGGACTCAAACTGCGGTCAGCCATCCTTCAGCCACCACGCCACCCGCTGGCCCTAAAAACCTCCATATTGTTCTACATAGTGGCTGGATTAATTTACATTCCCACCAGCAGTGTAGGAGGGTTCCCCTTTCATTGCATCCCCACCAGCATTTATCACTTACTGTTTTTTTTTAATATTTACCATTCTGATTGGGGTTAGGTGGTATCTCATTGTGGTTTTGATCTGCATTTCCCTGATGATGAGGGATGTTGAGCATTTTTCATATGCTTTTTGGCTGTTCATGTGTCTTCCTTAGAGAGTTGTTTATTCAGCTCCTTTTCCCATCTTTTAATTGGGTTAATATTTTTTTTTT